AGGGCAAGAGCATAAAGCCATAGACAAAAATGGTCAAGAGAAAATGGAAAGGTCACAGAAGTGAAAGGAAGTTCATACAGGGCCTTGTAGATCCTTTGATTTTACTCTGAGAGAGATGGGAAGCCTTTGAAAGGTTTTGAGTATAAGCAACATGGTTTAACTTCGATCTTAAAAAAGATCACTCTGGCTGCTACACAGAAAATACCTTGGTAAGGGGTAAGTATGGAAGCAGCAAGACTACTGGGAAACAACTTCATTCTTTTGGTAAATGATGGCTTTAATCAGAGTGGTTGAGGTGGAAATGGTGTTTAAAAAAAAAAAAGTTGTTGAAGTATCAATTAATTTTAAAGGTGGAGTCAATAGGATTTGCTGATGTGAGACAAAGAGAAAACAAGGATGCTTCCAAAACAAAACTTTGGATGAAGTGGAAGAAAAAAAGAGTTGCCACTGATTAAAATGGCAAAAAGATTACAAGAGAAGCAGATTTGAGAGGATGAAAATCAAGAGCTCTATTTTGTTTTGGACTTAAGTGTGAGAATCAGGCATCCAATTATTAGATATATACGTCTACAGTTCAGAAGGTAAGTCGGAGTTGGAGATGAAAATATGCAAGTTGTCATAGTATATATGTTAAAGTTCTTACCTAGAGAGAACAGATAATGATGGCCTGAGAACTAGGTCCTTGGTCACTATCCAACATTTAGAAAAAATAGGCTTTCCAAACACTGAACCATAAATCACTTGATACATTTACCCTTGGTTCCACTTACTGTATTAGTTATAGACCTGAAAACATAGCCTAAGTGTTAGAGATAGGGTTGGGGAGTAACTACCAAAGATAAGAAATCTGAAGTTACTAGAAACTGCTTTGAAATCATTAAGAAAATTAAAGAGTCTAAATTAATATGTGCAAAAAGACTACTACATGGTATATATAAATTTAAACAAAATCCAAGTACATAATACATATATAATTGAATAAAAAGATCTGGGTTATTGTGTTAGTTCTATTTCTAGGCTAAACTATAAACTAGCATGCAGCTCTTAAAAACTTTTACTATGTTTTTCTGCACTCTAGGAAATGGGTGACACTAGGAATTCCTAAAAACAGGCATATTCTTTAATTTTATATAAATTACTATTTTAAATGTACTCAAGGTGTTCCCTAAAGGATGTCAAATGCAAATGCATCTCAAAGTGCTAAAAAAAAATCATGCTTTAATAAATTTAAGATGTTGCCATTAATAAAACACACTAGCTAATTCTTAGGTAAAAACAAGATTCCTTCATCACCTATTTTGTAAATCAAGACCCACAAGATTAAGGTAGAACAAATCTTACTAAACTACTGCCTGGTTACAATTTCTACAGGTATAGGAATTTGAGAAACTGTATCAACCTCACATTCTTGCCATCCTTGGTTTTTACTACAAAATGCAAGCCTCCATCTTTCCTTTTCCATTCTTTACTCTTGATTCATCCATCTAACCTCCTCCACCAAGATTTCTAGAAATACATTTATGATATAGGCTGTCACCTATCTTCAACTGCTTTATATAATAGCTCCTCAATCTCTTAGCTTTCACTAAAACCTGATTTACCCCCAAAGGCTTTTCTTACGTTCCAATCCTTTTAGGTGAGTGTTCCATAGACAACTCAAACCCCTAAGTGCACCATTTTTATTCTAATTGCTTATATTAAAAATAATGCCCATCCCCCCAAACAAAACAAAGCACAGCACAAACACAACTTATTCTTTGAAACTCATGTTATCTACCTGAAATCCTTCTTCCTTCCCTCTCTGGTCTGGTAAATTATACCCATATACTAAAGGCTCTATTTTTCCCAAGTTATATTGCTGGCATTGTGGCTTCAATGTCTGTGTGCATGATCTATCCCAACACTCTAGCCCCCAAAATATTTGACTTTCTTAACTTGAGGGTCCCTCACCTCCTCTCAATTTCAGCCAATCACCACCTTAGGCTCTGATCATTATCATCTATCTTTGTAAGAGTTTCACTTATACTGAACTATCTCTTTGATCCATCAGGCTTTTTGTAACCAACCCAACCATCTTCACCTGGCATCACAACCTTTCCAACAGTGGCCATCGCCAATGACATATAAGTTCAACTACTCCAATGTTAACACTCTACACACATGCCACTTCCCATATGCTCTAATAGCCAACCCTGAAATACCATGCATCTTCTTCTAGCTATTAAAGAAAAGTCTTTAAACTGCAAGTATGCAGTAAGCTAACCTTAGCTGGCCACTCAGTAGCATGAGGCTCTCAATAATATCTGGTCCACTTCTTCACCCATTTCCCCCAATAACTTTCCAAGTTTTCAGTCTTCTCAAATCCCCTAACCAAACTCCGTGTTCCACGAGAACTACTTGAAAATATTTCTTAAAAAGTTACATAGTCAGGACTTCCCTGGTTGTGCAGTGGTTAAGAATCCTCCTGCTAATGCAGGGGACATGGGTTCAAGCCCTGGTCCAGGAAGATCCCACATGCTGCGAACAACTAAGCCCGTGTGCCACAACTACTGAGCCTGCCCTCTAGAGCCCACAAGCCACAACTACTGAGCCCGCATGCCACAACTACTGAAGCCCACGTGCCTAGAGCCCGTGCTGTGCAACAAGAGAAGCCACCACAATGCAAAGCCCGCGCACCGCAATGAAGAGTAGCCCCTGATCACCGCAACTAGAGAAAGCCCACAGGCAGCAAACGAAGACCCAACACAGCCATAAATAGATAGATAGATAGATAAATTTATTACAAAAAAAAGTTACAGGGTCACAAAACTACCAAGAAATATCACCTTACTCCCATTAGGATGGCTACTATGAAAAAAACAGATAATTACAAATGTTGATGAGAATGTGGAGAAATTATAACCTTTGTGCATTATTAGGTCAGAATGCTAATTTGATGCAGCCACTGTAGAAAACAGTACAGAGGTTCCTCAGAAAATTAAAAATAGGACTACCAAATGATCCAGCAATCCCACTTCTGGGTATATACCCAAAGAAATAAAAGCAGGGTCTCAAAGAGCTATTTGTACATTGCAGCATTATTCACAATAGCTAAAACATAAGCAACCTGTGTCCATCAACAGATGAATGGATAAACAAAATACGTTACATACATACAACAGATTATTCAGCCTTAAAAAGGAAGAAAATTCTGACATATGCTACAACAGGGATGAACCCTGACATCATGCTACGTAAGTAAAATAAGCCAATCACAAAAAGACAAATACTGTGGGCGCTCACAGTAAATGAGGTAGAGTCGTTAAAATCATAAAGACAGAAAGTAGAATGATGGTTGCCAGGGGCTAGGGAGAAGGGTGAATGGGGAGTGATTGTTTAACAGGTACATTTTCAGTTTTGCAAGATGAAAAGAGTTATGCAGATGATGGTGGCAATGACTGCACGACAATATGGATGTACTTAATACCACTAAATTGTATACTTAAAAATAGTAAAGATGGCAAATTTTGTTATGTGCATTCTACCACAAAAAAATTTTTTTAAAGGTTACATGGACACACAAATTTGAGAAATACATTTTATAGTCCCTTCTTGGAGATGCACAATGTACATGAGCATTTTAAAGGATTTCCACTGTTTTCAGTAGAGAAATCTGCTGTTTAAGTCTGCATGTCCCAAGCTTAATCCACAACCACTTTTTCAAGAAGCACACAGTGGTGTAGCTGACCTAATTTACTAAGAAAATTGACAATTCAGACACAAATGACTTTGACTTCCCCATTCTTACCTACCAATACATTTAACATCACATATCCATTTTTACCTCCTTCTTCTAGTTTCATAAGATCTGGGTCTTTGCTCTTATTCAAGAGAAATCCCTACACCTATATTCTTCATTCCAACCCTTACTATCTTAAAAACCTTGCTTCAACAATTACCACTTCTCATATTATCTTAAACTTCTTATATTCTCACAACTAATCACAGAAGTCTTACCTACTTCACCTTCTATTTTTCTTTCATCCAGAAAACTTTATCTTGAATTCCTAATATACCACTGCCCTTATTTAGGCCCTCATTGACTGAAGCCCTGGTCAACGTACCACCACATGATTTCTCCTCAATCCTGCTTCCCTGTTGGCAAAGTTATTAAAAATATACACCTAACAAGGTTACTACCGCTACTTAGCAAATTCTTTACTGACTCCCAAATACCTATGAGAGACAGGCCAAGGTCCTTTACATAGTATGCAAGCACCTAGTCCTTTCTTTCAAGTCTCATCTCCTTCAATTTCCTACATTTCAGTCAGTCTATGATCTAAAAATCCTCAACTGCCTACTGTTCCCTACATTCACTATGCTGCTTTGTAACTCTGCTCCTGCTTCTGCCTAGAATGTGCTACCTAACTCCCAGTCACACTTCAAGACTTAACTTAGCCTTCCCTGATCACCCCTATTTCCCTGCCATCTGGATTAGGTCCCTATTGCATCAGGGTACTTGAGTACCCTGGTACTTCTTTATGTTCATGTTCCATCCTGGGTATCCTTCTACCACAATGATTGAAATGATTTGCTTCTGGGTCTTTTACACTGAGTAGACTAAATTTATGTAGGTTAATTTAGCTTAACTAATCTTATGCATCTCTGTATCCACAAAACAGCACCCAATATCTTATACACAGCAGGCGCTTAATAAATGATTGTTAAGCTGAACTCTTCCCCATCTATTTCCCCAAAACTGCTAGGTGAGCAAAAATATGTAAGAATCCAGGGGCATGCAATTATCTATCCAGAAGTAGAAATCTAGTAGCATGTTACCAAGATTTAGAGGTATTTATTTGGTAGGGAAAATATTAGACATGTGTATTCCTATCTTCCAATTTACTTTTTAAAGCATTATACTCTCTTTAACTGGAAATTATTTTCAAATAATGTGATACCATTTAAAGCAATCTAGTGCAACTTAAAAGACACCACAGCCTCAACCAAGTTATACTTACATTCGGCTAGCTTCAATGTCGTCAGACTGAGGTTCTCCTGATGATCTGTAAAATGCAATTCAGTAAAGTTAAGCAAAATATTCCATATTTCAAAAAGGGGCAAACATTTTATTTTGGAAGACAAATTTGAAAACAAGATTTAATGGTTAACAGTTTTAAAAGTTCAACATGTGAAAAAGTGATCAAATCAGATTGCCATACAACACATTTATTGTAAGGGCTAGACTAATAAAAACTCAGTTCTCTTTTTTTTTTTTAAGGAAAGGAAACTGTAAACACTATATTTAGATACCAACATACAAACCAGTGTAATAAATCATAATTATTCACAAAGTCAAATATTTATAATAAAAACCCACAACTATGAAACCTTCTACAGCCAAGTACTGGTTATCCACAATATCAAAAGTATTCACTGGTATTAACAGTCCCAAACTTTAGATGAGGGATCAGCAAACTACTGCCTGGGATGACAAACTAAGGCCTGGGTTGGCCGCCTATTTTTGTAAAGTTGTACGGGCACAGAATCACGCTCATTTATTTACGGCTGCTTTTACATTACAAAAGCAGAGCTGAGAAACTCTGTCAGAGACATGTGGCTCACAAAGCCTAAAATATTTATTACCTAGCCCTTTAAGAAAAAGTTTGCCAACCTCTGCTGTAGATAATTCAAATTTCAATCTAATACCCTTCTGAATTTTGAGACACTTAAGTCTGTTTTACCATTCTAACCATGATTACCTTATTTCAACAATGAAAGTAGCTTTCCCTGAAAATACACTGGCAGGATGTACTACCTGTCAAAATTGTACCATCCTAGGGTATTAAAATTTTGCTGTGGATAACTGTGAATTGACTTCAGTTATAAATAGTTGCCACTTATTTTCTTTTTTTTTTTTAATATACTGCTGCTATTTTAAGTAGAAATACTGAAAATTCTAAGACACTAAGAAGCCTTTTATTTTCATTTTGGGGCATGAACCAATTTTGCCTACCCCATCATGCTGTTAAAAATAAATTCCTGTTACTCTATTCACTTTTACAACCAGCATCAGTCAAAATATATTGTATTAAGGTGAATCAACATAATACTGATTTCTAACACTTTTAATTCACAAAACAGGTAAAATATTTTTTAGATGTCAAAAGCTATATTTTCAAACTGACATTACAAGGACTTGATTTGTAAATTTATAACTGACTTGAGACTTCAAATTCTAAACAACTTTTAACAAGAGAATCTTAAAATCAGAGCCACCAGAAAAGAAAAGAATCTGTTTTCCATATTTCTTAGATTTTAAAAAACTCACTTCTTTATCAGACTTTCAAAATTACCCCTCATTGCAGTGGTCCAAGGACAAGAATGCAAAAAATAAAAATAAAAAATAAAAAAAAACCCAGCAGCTCAAATATTTATTTTAGATCTTCTTCGCAGTATATTTACATTTTCAATTTTGCACAAAATGATATTAGAACTAAAAACTGGGGCATGCTGGAGGTGGCAGTGACTTGGCAGTGACACAAATGCAAAAATTTCACTCCACCCTCTCCCCCAGGGAGCAAGCAAATCACCTTTGTGACACACCTGGTCTCCACCAGCCTTGTGGGTAAGTACCCCAAGATTGCTTCCAAACTTGTATCTCTCAGACAGAAGAGCTAAAAAGTGATGATAACCCCATGTACCAGCTGACTCATTTTTGAAAGTGCGACCCTCCAGCATCAGATGTCATACTGTAAGGAGGCAGAGCAGGCTTGCAAAACAAAAAATAAACCTGCTGGCACTAAGGGAAGAGAGGCAGATTAGAAGCTTTCATACATGTAGGCGGCAAAACTTTCAAAATTAACAGGGAAAGAGAGAGAGGGGAAAAACTGAGGACACAATGACAGGGAAATTAAACTACTACTGCAAAAAGGTAAGATACAAGCAAGAGGAAAAACAAATCCAAGTCTCAGAAGCACAATTTTTAACTGCTGCAAAGTTTTGAGATTCTGAAATGGGATAGAGGTTAAATACATCAAATGGTAACTACATTCTATTTTCCAAAGTCTATTCTCTAAACAAGAGGATATGTAAACATTAGCACCAAAATGTCATGAAATTACTGTAAATAAACTAGATAACTTAACATTAACATATATTAACGTGAGCTACCAAAAACCACTTTAAGTCAAACCAAGTAATTTAAACCAATTCAGTCAACAAGAAGAACAAAAGAATAAGGACTGAAGATTATTACCTTAAAACGATCTATCCTAGGTCTCTTAAACAGAGTTAGCATAATTGTTTTTTACTCAAAACAAAAATTGTTTTTTAATCAGAGAAAGGTGAATATACACTGAACAAATAGAAGCACCTTTTACCTTACAGTGAGCAATAACAGTACCTGCCTGAATAAATTTCTAGTCATTCTGCTTATTGTATTCTGTCTGTTTTATTCTAAATATTCTAAATAATTAGAATATTATTTATTCTAAATATTTTACTGATTTTCTAAATAATTTACTAAAGAATATCCTAAAATTAGGATCCAAACTCTCAAAATTATAAAATACCTAAGATCTAACAATAGTTTCCAAGCTTCAATTTAGCCCCTGAAGAGTCTCTTTATTCTTTACTCTCAAGTTCTTAGAAGTAAGGATCTGGTACATATTTTAATTTTACCAAATTGAGGACATATAACCAAAGGAGAAAAAAACCCAAAAAGTATTGACTTAGGTTAACCTAAAGTTCGTCAGAATAACAAATCAGAAAAGAGATTTCTATGAGGTCCAGCTTCTCTAGCCTGCAAGCCCTTCTACTGTAACTCTCTAGGAGAGACAAGTATACTAGATTTATTAAAACTCTCACCACATAAAAAGCACACTTTAAAATGCATACTAAGACTTTTTTCATAGTTTTTTTTAATGTTCATAATAAAATGTTTATTTAAAAACTAGAAACTTTTTAGAAATACTTTCCTGTTTATTCATACAGATAGGTCTGGGGAAAGGGCACAAAGTATTTTAGGAAGGAGATTAAATGGAGAAACAGGTCAACTCTTAGGTCCACTATTCTTAGCAGGCAGTATTCCTGCCAACTGTACATTTTCTTCATTTTTTTTACAGCACGTATTTTACAATGACAGCCTTTTAAAGGCTGTAAAATAACATTTAAAATTACCTTTTACAAGCTGTGGCCATTCGGTGACATCAGGGTGATCACAGCTCTGAGTCACTGATTAAAAACAGGTTGTCACACCAGTCTAGCTGCTAACTTGATCTGAGCGTAGGTTTAATAACTCTAATAAATTAAACAAATCTTTAGTTAGAACACTTTAATATATAAACCCAATTCATTGTTCAAAAATAATCTTCAAAGGTTCAAATTAGGTGCCAATGCAACAACCATCAGAAGAGTAATTATAGAAATGCTTTTAAGGACTATTTTCCAGCATTTTTTTTTCCCTTAAATGATTTCTTCACTTGAGAAAATATAATAATCTCCTGTACTTTTATGAAGTGTTACAGTTTACAAAGCACTTTGGTCAACGGCATCTTAAGTCTAAAGATAATTTGGGCTCTACCTATTCAGAGCAGATACTATAGAAAGAATTTAAAAGAAGAAAAAGAAAAAACCAAGCAGCCTTAGAGTGATTAATTGACTTGCCCAAGATTTTAGTATTAGCATTGAAGACAGGACTAGGATTAAAAACCCAGATATACTGACTGCCTATCCAGAGTTAGTATTCTGTGATTTCATTTAGTTTTGCTATAGAGTCTCATGATTTAAATATATGAACAAAGATTTAAAATATGGATTGACACCCCACCATTACAATAATTTAAATGGGACTAATAGTAGTACAGTTTTCCAGGTAGTCAAATGCTTAATGGAACAGTTATACACCCACACCCACACAGATACACACACTCTCACACACACACACACACACACCCAGTCTATTCCTACTTATTCCATATTAAAATAGGATAATCTAACATTAGCCAAAACTCCTTGGGTATTTCATGAAAACATGTTCTCCACATCAGCCAAAAACCCACTAATATTCAATTTCATGAGAGAGAATGGCAAAATATGAAAACATTTCCTCCTCCTTCAACCTAGTATCTTTTGATCCTCTGACTTGGCCTTAGCTGAACTTTCCTGATTCCTGATTATCATGGTTCACATTTATCAGGCATCCGAATCACACTGTAGTTTCAGGCAAAGATACACATCCAAAATATCCCAGAATCAAGAGCTCATGTCCTGCAACTAGTTTTTCCCCTGATGATTTCCCTACCAAACTATATATCCAGGCCAAATCTGAAAAGTGAACTGAGGAAAGATGAGAAAATTAGGAAAGAAAAAAGAAGATCCTTGATAGTTAACACCTTCCAAGTGACAACAGACAACCACAGAAGGTGGTTTACAACACGGATCCAGAGCCCTATATAAAATAGCAAGTTATCTGAGAACCCTAAGAGAAGGGATGAAACATCAATGCTTGAGCCCATACCTCTGCAGCCTATGAACTTGGGCTTCAAATTCAGATAAGGGTGAGAGTTTGCCTAAGAATACATTAACTTCAGGGGACTCCAATACAGGCATACTTCATTTTATTGTGCTTCACAGATATTGTGTTTTTTACAAACTGAAGGTTTGTAGCAGCCCTGCATCAAGCATGTCTATTGGTGCCATCTTTCCAACTGCATTTGCTCTCTTCATGTCTCTGTGTCACATTTCGGTAATTCCTGCAATATTTCAAACTTTTTCATCATTATTATATTTGTTATGGTGATCTGTGATCAGTAACTTTTGATGTTACTACAACAACTTGCTGAAGGCTCAGATGATGGTTAGCATATTTTAGCAATAAAGTATTTTGTAATTAAGGTATGTACATTACTTTTTTAGACATAATGCTATGGCACACTTAATAGACTGTAGTATAGTGTAGACATAATTTTTATATGCACTGGAAAGCCAAAAAATTCACCTGATTACCTTTATCTGCCTTATTGCGGTGGTCTAGGACTAAACCTGAAATACCTGAGGTATGCCTATAACTGGGATTTTTAATCCCTGGAAGATATATTCAAATTTCCCAGATTTTCCTATCATAGTTGCATGTTTTCTAATAAAAACCTAGAATATTCCTGAGGTCATATGGGAAAGAGGTAAGGCGCCCCTGAAATGAACAGTGTTTCCTGTGGGGTCCTCATAAGACTAATAGTGTATGTGGATTTAAAAGATGCAAGTCTAACTTTCCAACCTGTAAACATAAAAATGAGAAAGTCAAAATACCTTTTAACTGATTAATTAATTAACTGAGATGAATTAATTCATTAAAGAGCTACGTGTATTGTGAAAATTACTGAGGCAAGTCCTCTCTTCTAGACCTCCGTTTTCATGAGGTCCAGTGCTCCACAGAGCAGAGGTTCCAGAATCAGTCTGGATTCAAGTCCCTGTTTGGTCACTTACTAGATGGAAAATCTTGGGCAAGTTACTTAACCTCTCCAAGCCTAAGTATCCTGATATGCAGAACTAAGATAACAGTAGTATCTATTTCAGAGGGCTGTCATGAGGATGAACAAACATATATATTGTTCACAACAGTGTCTGGCACATAATAAGAGCCCAACAAATGGAAGCTATTATTAACTCATAGCCTAAACAGCCAAGCTTACCCTCTCAACCTTCTTATGCAATTATTTTACTTTTCATAGCATACTAACCTCTTCTAAAATTCTTCAGAATCCCACCTGGATTCCTCATACAGTCTACCTGGTAGCATAGTGATTTAGCACCTAGCACATGCTTTAAAAATGGCAGACACCCAAATTTGCTGAATACATTTGTCATTATTCTAACCATGGCATTAAGATATACATGCAATTTTGAATTCCAAAAAATAAAACGGAAACATACCATATTTCGCCAAACTTCTGAGGAGCTGGTGAATTCTAAAATCAGGCTCTTACAGATTTTTAACCTAAAATATAAAACACCTCACTCAATTCTTTTTACACAGACAACTGGATGGACAACTTTCATAGAAAAAATTTTTTCTAAAATTTATTATAAAAGCAAATTCATTTGTAATACTTATGAATATCCAGAAACATAGTAAGAGACAAATGCCCCTAATGCTGTTGCCAGGATGCATGGAAAGGTGGTTAGGCAGGCCCTGTGGTCTGAGTGCTTTCAGCTGGCAGAACCATGATACCCATTTTCATCCAAAGAACTTACTGCTTGCCGTTTCTTTACTCTTCCCTCCCTCCAAAATGGCTGAAAATATATGAAAACTGTTTAACTACATGCCTCTAATTCCTTCAGATACCTACAGCAATTAAGCTTTTAATTAAATTCCCTATGCTGAGGACCTGCTGTATTAGGTACATATATGGGCATCTGCCCAACTACCTCCTGAGTAGCAGCCTTTGGCAGGTCCCTTGACCTGTAAGTCTTAGGTGTCAGGTTGTTGTAATAGAGAAAATATTTCTAAAGTATGTAGGACAATGCCGCCTGGAGCATAATAGGGTCTCAGTGTATGGTAGCAAATATTATTTCTTAAATCAAACATTTCATATATCTATCAGAACTTATCAAAAACCAAATTCTGAAGCTTAAAGCATGCATCCAAATAATCACCGTAAATTCTTAACTCATCTGTATATTATCAGAGCATTCCTCAGTTGAACAGGAACTAAAGTCTTTTAATACATTTCCTCTTACTGCATATGAAGAAACCAAGTCCTCCACCAAATAAGGAAACCCACCCAGCATCCTACAGGTTGATGGCAGAAAATGAATATACTATACTGCATATAAATATTTCTTTTAAATTAACCAAGTGTTAAGAGGACTGAGTCTCAAACTCTGTTCTATAATACAATCACCTAAGGAACCTGTAAAAAATGCAGATACTGGGCTTCCCTGGTAGCGCAGTGGTTGAGAGTCCGCCTGCCGATGCAGGGGACACGGGTTCATGGCCTGGTCCGGGAAGATCCCACATGCCGCAGAGCGGCTGGGCCCGTAAGCCATGGCCGCTGAGCCTGCGCGTCCGGAGCCTGTGCTCCGTAACGGGAGAGGCCCGCGTACCGCAAAAAAAAAAAAACAAAAAATGCAGATACTTACTTGATCTCAACCTCCAGAGACTGTGATTCAGTACATAAAATGGGGGTGTGTGAATCTGTATTTTTAACATACATTTCAGGTGATATGCATACCCCAATTTGAGAAACTTTGCCTTAGAAGATTAGGAACACATAATCACAGAATGTACCAAATCTACGAAGATATAGGATAAGTAACAGAAACTGTAAGCACCAGAAATGTTACCTGCACTCTTGGCAAATTTAACCATTAGCACTCTTACACCAGACCTAGTGCCTTTATTTTATTTATATACGCATTCCTTTCCAACAGAGGGCTCAGTCTAATAATCTAATAAGAAAGGAATTAAATAAGAAGAAATGCCTATACCAATCTACATCCACCTGTCCCTGTAACGTTTTCACTTATCCTTAAAATAGTCCATCTGCCTGCTCTCTTTCTCTCTCCCTCTCTACACAGGTGCATACATATTATTATTACATCTGTCATGTCCTTTATCTCCTCTCCAACAGCCCATTTCCTTCACCTCCTTGTAACCCTAGGTCAAACTTAATTTCAGACTACCTTTTCTATCACTTTTTTATTGTGTCCACTCAGCAATCTTGTTCTCCTTTATGCCATGTTTATGGTGTCTTAAATTTATGGGAAAGCTACTTGTTGAAACTCATTAAGTTTTGTACATTTGTAAATTTCACAACAAAAGACTGTTCCAATAACTTTCCTGTGTAAATTTTCCTGTCTTTAGGCTCTACCTCATTCTAGTCCATTCTGCAGTTAGACTAAAATTTCAGAACACTGCTTTCATATAGTACTTTCAACATAATTCCCTCAACTCCATGAACTCTTTACAGTACCATTTCCTTACTCTCCTTCCTTTAACTGCCAGAAAGGCCTGAAAACCGTTAGCTCAGATGCTAACATACAAAACCTTCCACATACTGAAACTTTTCTTATAAAAGTCATCATCATTCTTATATGTCCCAAATCCTGTGGCCTCTTAATCCTACTTTTTCTCTGCAGCATTTCACACTGCTAACCATTTCTCACCCCTCCTGGACTTCCATAATGCTGTACCTGCCTGTGTTCTTCTACCTCTGACAGGAACTAAGTCTTCTGCTAGTTCATCTTCCTACCCCTCAATCATAGCCACTCTCCAAGTTTCTATCAATAGCCCCTTTTCGTAGGTTAAGAATTAATTTTCTGTGCAATGTCATCATCCATTCCTATAGCACCTCTCTATACTTAGGATCCCTAACTCTACATCTTTAAGCCTTCATCTCTTGAGTCATAAGCCTGCTACTCTCAATTACCAATAGTACACATGCACTTGGTTGTTTCATTAGCATCTAAAATCAAGCTCAATTATTCCCAAAAAACGTACTCCACCCTGAATGTGCCTAATCTTGTTGTCCTACTAGTTACAGAATGAAAAAAATTGGTGCCATTCTTTATTTTCTCCCCCTCATTTTTATTTAGCCTAACCAATGTATGGTTTGATACTAAAGGTCATTCAAAGAATGTCTACTAGCTAAAACTAATACAATGTTATATGTCAATTATAACTCAGTTTAAAAATATGTTTGAGTGTCTACTAAGTGGATGAAGACATAGTGGTAAAGAAACTAGACAATCTTGTATCCCCATGTAATGGGGGAAATGCGCACAATAAAAACCACAATAAACTAGGTAACTGCAATGCATAGTTAAGTGTTGTGAAGAAGAAACCAGGATATGGTTAAGTGTACATATACAGTATTCTGACTTAGTCTGGGGAAAAAGGAAATACGTTCTTCATGAAGTAACATATAAACTGAGCTTTGAGGCATGAGCAAGGTTTATCCCAGACATATGAAGAAAAACCGTGGAAGGTATAACAGTACCACTACCAGTCCAGTCACCCATTAGAAAATTCTGAGTCATATTCTAGAGAAGGCCCCTCTCTTTGCAGTAAAACAAACCGTTCACCCAGTGCTATCAATTCTACCTCAGAAATTCCCCCACACTCCAACATTGCCCCCAATTATTCCTTTGTTGGCTTTGTTCCAGAGTAACATTTCCTATGAAACTATACAAAATTTGGCCAAAACCTGCCAGTCCAGCCTCTTCTCTCAGACTAGACCACACTTGTAGAGAACACATATATCATTCATTTTTATTTTTACACTTCCAGTGCTTGAAAATGTTCACAAAATATACTTCACAGGATAAACATCTTATGAAGAGGAAAGTTTCTTTTACATGACTTGCTTTAGAGGTCATTTAACTAGTGAATACAAGATTAAAAACAAGTTGTCTGATTGTAAAGGCCATGCTCCTTCCCTTGTACACTTCTAATTTATACCCAAATCCTGTAAATTTTTTCTTTGAAATATCACTTGCATCCTTTTTGCCCCATGCATAGTCATGTTAGATGCTCATTACTTCACCTAGTTTTACTTTTTCCTCTATCCTTGACTCCGCCACTAGAATTATCTTCCTAAACACCCAAATTTGGCCATATCACTCTCATACTCAAAATCTATACTTTCCCAATGCCCACAGGATAAATTTCAAACTATCATATGAAGTCCCTGCCACCGGCTTCCACCCATTCATACAAGCCTTACTGCCCACTCTATGACATTATTACCAAGTACTTGATCTAGTCCCATCATTGGATTACTGGCTATCACATACTGGCCATCTGTATTTCTAATTTCAATGCTTCTGTTTCTCACGACACTTCACTCAGAAATACTTCTCTCTCCTTTGCTAACTTCCACCCCCCACCCACCTATTATGCCCTGTTTAAAAAAACTCTACTCATTTTAAAGGCTGTATCTCACAGAGTTCTCTAAGCTCTTCTGTAAATAATCACTGTCTTGTCTGGGAACTATATGTTCCTAATACTATAAAATAATTTCTTAATTTCCACCCTAAATTTATTATTTTATACATTATAGCTATCTGAATACGTTTCTCAGTGCCTCTAGCTATAAGCTGGTAGAAGGTAGTGCTCGTCTCATCCATATGTTTATTTTCATAGTAATGGGGATTGTTTTCTTGACACCACACCTCCCTCTACAAGGAAAAAAAAAGGAATGAGGATCATGGCCTGACAAAGGATTCTAAACTAGCTCCAAATGCAATTCATGGATGCACAAACAAGGGTATCCTTTAATTCCAAATTAACACAAATTTAACCCAATGCCAATCTAACAAAAGTTTATTTTGAAGGTCAAACATGTAAGAATAACCATGAAACTTTCATTTTTCTCAAAGAAGAATAATGCCTCTCTTCCAAGAACTTGTTCTACCAGGGACTAAAGCATAAAATATTTTAGTATAATTAAAATCAATACAACCCCTTCAAAAAACTTTGACAGTATCTATTAAAACTAAATCATTTAGTTTAGTCATTTACCCTATGACTTAAAAATTCCACTAAGTACACATCAAATAGAAATGAGTACATATGTTCACTAGAAGACGTTCAGTGGAATATTGACAGTAACAATATTCTTAGTAGCCCCAAACCAAAAATGACTAAAATGTCCATCAACAGCAAAATGAAAAACAAAATATAGGTGGCCCTTAACCCAGGTTTGAATCATGCAGGTCTACTTCTACGCAGATTTTTTTTTCAGTAAATACATTAATACAGTACCACACTATCTGCAATTGGTTGAATTCACAGATACAGAAATGTAAAGTTCTCAAGGCCTACTGTAAAGTTATATATGCAGATTTTCGACTATGCAGGGGATGGGTACCCCCAGCCCCTTACCTAGTTCAAGGGTCAAGTGTACTATACAGAAATTATAAGCAACTGACTACAGCCAACAATGTAGATGAATCTCACAAATATTTTATTTGAGAGAAGCCAGACACAACTAA